TTTTGAGGGGATTGGCTTTTTTTCTCCTCCTTTTCCTCTCCTTATTGATTTGAAATTTATTCTTTGTTTTTCAGTTCTCTTAATGGTTACCCTTGAAAAAAAATTTTTAAGATTTTATTTATTCATGAGAGACAGAGAGAGAGAGAGAGAGAGAGAGAGAGAAGCAGAGACATAGCATGAGGGAGAAGCAGGTTCCATGCAGGGAACCTGATGTGGAACTCGATCCCTGTTCTCCAGGATCACTCCCTGGGCTGAAGGCGGCACTAAACCGCTGAGCCACAGGGGCTGCCCTACCTTTGAATTTTACAGTGATTTTTTTTCCCCCTCATTGAATTGCCTTGTCATTATTGATGTGTGGGTCAATTTCCTGCTTCTATTCTATTAGTCTATATATCTACAGAGACCATAGATCATTTTGACTTTCATCATATCCCTCCTGACATTTACTGCTGTCTCTTTTTAAAACCTACATTAATTATTTTATATGAACAATGTTTATTTTACCTACAAATTTTAACTATTTTTGGCTTTCCATTTCTTCTCAAGTATACATTCTGAGATCCTCTTCATTGTTCCTGAAATGCTTTGTGTTCTAGGTGTTCCTTTGATGATGGTCTCTTGGTGATGAACAATCTTTTGGTTTTTTTTATCGGAAAATATTTTTATTTTGTTCTCTTTCTTATATGATAGTTTTACTCCTTACATAACTCTAAGTTGACTGTTTTGTTTTTCACTCTGAAGATATAATTTTACTTTTTTTGGCCCCAATTACTGTTTTTGAAAAGTGTGTTATCTGTTTCTCCTGCCTTTTAGAGAGTCTACCCTTTCTCTCTGACTGCTCCTTATTTTTGGTGTTTCACAGTTTCATTACTGTGTGTATGTTTAAATCATCCTTGTTTTTTTGTGTTTTTTTTTTTTTGTTTGTTTTAAAAACAAGTCCCTCCTGGTCTTTATTACTTTTTACATTGACAAAGCAATTCTCCAGCTCTCAAGTGGGAGTGGGCTGGTGGGTGCTATGAGGCCATCTGCTGGCACCACACACCGCTGGATTTCCCTCCTTCTTGGTCACTAGGTATTTCCTCCAAACCCAGACGCAGGAGTGTCATCCTTGGTTTATTATGTTTCTTGTATCTGTATATTCCTGTCCTTTATCAGTTCTGGAAAATTCTCAGCGACTTTCAGTTACTGCTTCTCCTTTATTTTCTCAACTCTGTCTTTCTAGGATTCCTGTATTCCCTAGGTTAGACCTCAGTCAGTTCCATTTCTCTCCCCCTGGCCTCCCCCTTTTCCTCTCTCTTTCCCTGTTTACATGGTAAAATATACATAACATAAAAGCTATTTTTAACCATTTTTATGGACAGTTGACTAGCATAAAATACTTTTATACTGTTGTACTGTTGTGAGTATAATTCTATCCACCTCTAGAACTTCTGTATCTTCCCAAGCCGAAACTCTATACCAGTTAAATGACTCTTCTCCCCAATCCCTGGCAACCACCATTCTACTTTCTAGCTCTATGAATTTGACTTTTCTAGGTACCTCACATAGTGGAATATTTATCCCTTTGTGATTTTTATTTCACTTAGCATAATGTGTTCTTCAAGATTCAACCATGTTGTAGAATGTGTCAATTTCTTCCCGTTTTAAAATTTTTATTTGTAGTAAAATACACATAAACCTAAAATTTACTATCTTCATTATCTTTAGTGTGGAGTTCAGCAATATTAAATACATACAGACTGTTATATAGCCAGTCTCCTGAATTCTTTTCACCTTGCAATATGGACTCTACCCATTTCTGATCTGTTTCTGCTAACAACACTTCTCATACCAAATACGTGCTTGTTTTTTCCCCACACCAACCAGTCCTCCAACTCTCTGAAAGGCAGCTATTTTCACCATTGTCCACCAATACAAGTTCTCCAACTCTCTGGACAGTAGGCCTAGGGTTCCCCTGACCTCTTCCTCTGGTTGAGTAATTTGCTTCAGAACTCTGGAAACACTTTGCTTGCTTAAAAGATACAACTCAGGAACAGCCAAATGAAAGAGAGATGCATATGGCAAGAAATGTGGGAAGGGACAGAGAACTTCAATGCCCTCTCCAGGCATATCACCTTCCTAGTACCCGTTGGTTCATTACGTTTTGGAGCTCTCTGAACCCCATAGTTTAGAGGTTTTTATGGAAGCTTTGTTTCCTAGACATGATTGATTAAATTATTGGCTCTTGGAGGTTAGGTCAATCTCCAGCCCTCTAATCATCCCCTGGATTTACTGGCAACCATCCCCCATCCTGAAGTTGTATAGGAGCCATGATTCATCTCAATAGCATACAAAAGACATTCATTCTTGTCATTCAGGAAATTCCTAGAGTTTTAGTGCCCTGTGTCAGGAACCAAAGACAAAGACCAAATACATATTTATTTTATCACATGTATTATACAATAGCTCTCAGTTCCCACCCTTCTCAGTTTGTAGCAACCTTCATTCTTTCTGTCTGAATTTGATCTTATCTAGGTAACGACATATAAGTGGAATTTATGGTATTTGTCTTTTTTGTGACTTACTTTACTTAGTGTAATGTCTTCAAGATTCACCCATGTTCTAGCATGTTTCTAAATTTCCTTCCTTTTTAAGGCTGAATACATATTCCATTGTATGTATCTGGGCATTTTGCTTATCCATTCATCCATTGATGGACACTTTAGTTACTTCTGCCTTTTGGCAATTATGAATAATGCTGCTGTGAACATGCATTTACAAATATCAGTTCAAATCTCTGTTTTGTCAGGCTTTAATGTTAGAGTCTCATGTTCAGCTCTTCACCTGATCTTCCCACTGGTGGAAGTATTTGCCCTCAAGGCATCTCATCTTTCATAGGTTTTCTACTGCTCACTGCTCCTGTTTCTTCCCACTCTAGGGGTCCAGGGTTTGCTTATTTACTTATGATCCTTGAGATTCTTTTTGCTTTTTACCAAGTCCAAGAATGCATGAAATTGTGAGCTGTCATTTGTCCAGTATCTAGTGGGATTTGGATAAAAGTGCTCTCTCTTCAAAGCATACCTACTCTACCATACTGCCAGAAGTAGGGTCCATTATTTTTAAATTTTGCACATCTATGATACCATATTTTTCCTTTCTAGCCCAAAATAAAATTTAGGGAGCAGAGTCATTTTCACCTTTCTTTGTTATGATAGATCAATATTATGCACATGCATGTGCTTGTGGTGTAGTTCTCAGGATATCTTGAATGTTAAATAACATTTGGTGGTTGGGTGATGGGAAACAACCTAAATCTCTTAATCTTTGTAGCTCTTTTTCAAAGACAAATTGTGGGCAGCCTGCGCGGCTCAGTGGTTTAGCGCCGCCTTCACCCCAGGGCCAGATCCTGGAGACCTGGGATCGAGTCCCGCATCGGGCTCACTGCGTGGATCCTGCTTCTCCCTCTGCCTGTGTCTCTGCCTCTCTCTCTCCCTTTCAGTGTGTCTGTCATGAATGAATAAATAAAATCTTTAAAAAATTAAAATTAAAATTAAAAAATAAAAAAGACAAATTGTTAGTTAGAAACCTTTAAGTATATCAAATAATGATCCTTTAGTTGCTTAATACCTACCAGTTGTGAAATACCTTTAATAATATATAGTGACGTACCTGAATATAGGAGTAAACCTGTGTTAGATTTTCCTGTGACTTTCTCTTTCCCTAATTACTAAATTAAATGAAACTCTGTTACAAGCACTGTAATATCTGACAGTTGTTACCAAGATGTGTGAGCAAATATCTAACTAGAATAGTCTCTGTATCATATAGTTCTTATATATTGCTTTCTTTTGCACATATGTTCAAATTCTTTTAATGACTGCCACAGGATGGGAATGTTAGAGGTGGAAGCTAACTAGTGTAAATGAGGAGCAAAGATACTATGCAGATCTGACTTTGCAATTGACTAGGATTTTTAAAAACAAACAAAACCTTCCCATGTTAACGCCTATCTGCCTCAGTTGCAAGTAATATCCTGAATAAACTCCCAGTGTCAGCAGTGAAAAGCATGGATGGAGGGGGAAAAATGTAAAAGTTAGCAGGAAGTGAGGTTTAAGGAAAGGGAGAAGGAGATATGAAATTAGATGAAAAGAGACTGGAGTAAAATTATTAATTTGTAATGACAAATTTTATAAATTTCTGAAGGAAACAGGATATAACAATTACAAAGATATGCTTATTGCTAATTACTTTTGTGATATAAAGTATATTCTAAAAGGTTCGTATTAGATTCATTGACAGAAGAGGAAAAAATGCATTTCTTAGAAGATGAAGTACATGTGTCTTTTATAACCTGACTCCACCCAAAACCACTGTGCATTTTTGAGTTACTTACATGTTATCACAAGTGTCATATATTCTACTTGAGTAAAGCTGTGAATTTTATTTCCTTCTTGATTATATTTCCTGATGAGTTATAGTATTTTTGAAAAGTTTAGAGAGAAGAAAATACTAAATACTCCATCATTTAATTAGTTTTAAAATTGATATTTTTTTTTTAGATTATAGATTAGAATGATTTGTAATACAACTACTTTGTTAATCCATTGCGCTTGGGAATCTTTAATGTATTGAACTTACTTATTTCTAATTAGTCATGTAACTGCTTTTGTTGCAGGAAAGTATGTTGAAATTTTCATGTGGCTTTATTTCCTTGACAGTTTCTTAAATAGCACAGAAAATATGATGCATCTTTTCTATTTAATTTTAAATTTTAATACAATTGCTAATTTTAGTATTCTTACATATCAATCTTTGAGGAAATTAGGTTAAAAAGAATTATGAAAATGAGAGAGTAACTCACATAAGGAATATACATTATGCTTGGATTATTAGAAGTTTGACTAATGAAATGAGGCTAATACTTTCAATGAATAATTATATAGTCATATGTAACTAAATTATTTTTGTTATATTTAGAGAAGTGTGATAAAAATGAATTTCTCTTAATTTTTATTTCCCAGCAAATTTTAAGAGCTTGCACTGAACAAGTGAAAAAGTATCCAGAGTTCTATACTCTCCATGAAGTCACTAGCTTAATGGGATTCTTCCCCTTCAGAATAGAGATGGGATTAAAGTTAGAAAAAACTCTTCTTGCATTGGTAAGGTTTACCAACGAAGATATAACTTTCTTTTGTCTGAAACATCACCTATATTTTACATAGATGATATTTATGTTTTAAGTTTTGAACAATGAGATACAACTTCTAAAATATGCAAATGTATCTTTTATTTTGTGGATATCAATACTTGATTTTTTTTTTTAATGTCACTATCAACTTTGTTTCTTTTCTTCATTCTCATCTTTCTTAATGTTTCAGAATACAAGCAGGGGACATTTTTTCTTTTAAATGATTTTACTCACAATCATGGGAAATAAGTATGTATAGAGAGGATATTTTAAAGTTTCTGTTATATTTGTACCTCATAAAATGAGAGGTTAGAATGTAAAGTGATAAGGAAAATTCCATGGCACCCCTGTTTTGGATGTTTTTGAAAAAAACATGTAGGTCGTCTAGCAAAATCATAGAAGTCTTGGCTTTAAGAAGACTAAAGTAGAGTGGAGAATTTTAAGTTAAGAGTTTCATATGATGAAAAGATACTTTTCTTAGGGGAAAAAAATACATATGATACTTGCAATAAGGCATTCCCTTTTTTCTTACTTAGGGCAGTGTAAAATATGTGAAAACAGTATTTCCCTCAATGCCTGTGAAGTTACAGCTCTCAAAAGATGACATAGTTACCACTGAGACACCAGAAAAAACAGCTGCAGCTATGCATTATGTAAGTAGGAAAGTGCTTTTCCCAAGTAATCTTCTACCTCATAAAGTACATATAATCTTACTGTTACAAGGTCCCCTTCTTGAATTTCTCCCTTCTTTTGGCATTTCATCAAAGAAATTTCCAATAAATATAATGAAGTAACAAGTTATATGTTGTTTTTCAGGATATTAGTAAAGATCCAAATGCAGAGAAGCTTGTTTCAAGATATCACCCTCAGATAGCTCTAACTAGTCAATCATTATTTACATTATTAAATAATCATGGACCAAACTACAAGGAACAGTGGGAAATTCCTGTGTGTATTCAAGTAATACCTGTTGCAGGTTTGTGATTTGCCATATAAAGTAATGCTCTCAAAAGAGGAGTTGGAACAGTTCTATTTCAGCTGTCTAAACATAGGTGGTCATTTGTCAAATAAAATCTTAAGTTTTGATTTAAGGTGGATGTGAATTTTACATTTACATTTTGTAGAACTTTAAATGTATAGTGCTACTATAGAATTGATACTCATGCATGAGTTATTAGATCTATGGAACCTGTACTCATGTTGGGGGGTGAGAGAGAAATAGTTATGTTATAGGGTAGCCAAAAAATACATGAAAGAAATTCTCTGTCTTTCATTGAAATGAAAGGAATGCAATACCTTATTAGTCTCAAATGGGTGAGTTTCCAAGACTTGTCTGGTACTGGACCTCAGAATTAAAATAGGTCTATACTTGTAAGCACTGGATAGGTTTTCTTTGGACTGAGAAGTTAATATCTTCTAGAATAATATGTAATGATTTTAGTAAATATAGAACTGTGTCTAATGAAACAAAACTATAGAGTTATATGTAATCTATTCTCTGTGGTAAAATTTCATCACTTTTTGAAAGTCCTATAAGAACTGAGTAATAATGACAATAAAAGTATAAGAAATAAAAAGCAGAAGCTCTCTTTTAAAAATTTCTTAGAGAACATATTTTTCTTGCCAAAATCTCTCCCCTTTTATCTGTAACGCACATTAAAGATCACAAGTTCAAGGGTGGAAAATACATGAGACATGTGCTACACTTTCCTGAGCTATATTTCTTTGTTTGGTAATCTTTCTGTCCTATATCCTGTTTGTTTTAAAATATAACTTCTGGAAACTAATCACTCTCTTTATTTTTCTGCTTTAAGGTTCAAAACCGGTTAAAGTAATTTATATTAATTCACCACTTCCCCAAAAGAAAATGACAATGAGAGAGAGAAATCAAATCTTCCATGAAGTTCCATTAAAATTCATGATGTCCAAAAACACATCTGTTCCAGTCTCTGCAGTATTTATGGACAAACCAGAAGATTATATGTCTGAAATGGATGTATGTAATGCATGCTTTTTTTTTTTTCTAAGGGAATGCACTTTATCTTTTTGAAGCATAAAGTTTTATTGCAAGGCTTTAAATCTAGTAGTTAAAAATAAAGGCTTTAGATTTAAAGTTAAAATTGAACCCCCGGTCAAGCTAGACTAAATTAACCTCCTTCAGCCTCAGTTTTCTCCTTTTGTAAAAGAAAAATGATAATACCTACTTCACAAGGATAAGTTAGTTATTATATGTAAAATGCTGAGTACAGTCTTTAGTATATATGAAAAAACTTAGTGGTGGTGGTAATCATGATAGTGGTTTTATTTAATTGGCCTCATTCATATTCAAGAGTTTTTAAGTATGAAAAGGAATAGATGAGTTTGATTGGTGCAGAAAAGTATTTGGCCAGATTGTTAATACTTTTCAGTATACTCAGTAGCTGCATGACCTTAGGCAAGGTTTGTAATTTCTCTCTGTCTCTGGTTTGCTGATCTGTAAAATGGGTTTTAAGATAGTACCTAATTCAGGATTATTTGAGATTAAATGAGTTAATACAAGTAAAGCATTTAGGACAATGCTTGGCATTCCATAAATACTATTTCTGTTATTTTGTGTATTTAAAAAATATTTTTCCATGATTCTTAAAGTTAAGACATTCTGTTTTGGACAAAACTTTATCCATTCGTTTTACAAATCCTTTGCATGGAGGATACAGCAGTGAATAAAAATAGTCTCTTTTTTCTCTCACAGCTTACATTAGTGATAGAGGATGCAGATAATTAAACCATAGCAAACAAGCAGGTAGTGGTAAGTGCTATGCAGAAAAATAGAGTAGGTTATTGGTAAATTGGTGGGAATTGGATTGTTTTAGATTGATGATCAAGAAGGCTTTTCCAACAGGAGATATGAACAGAGACTTGAATAAAGTGAAGGAGCAAACAAAATTAGAAAATAAAATAGAAACACATTTTTTTTATTTTATTTATACCGAAGAGCTCATACTATTTTAAGAATATTGGCCTTTTGTCTTTCATATTCGTTTATGTTTTTCTCTACCATTTGCCTTTAATATATATATGGTATAATGTCATAAAGTACTTTCAATTGTTTCTTAAGTTTTCTTTTTTTACATTTTTAAATCTATCTTATACTTGGTATGAGGTGAATGTCAGGAAATAACAAGCACTATGAAGAAACATGAAGTAGGTTGAAAGGGATAAAAAGTGACAGAGTAGTTTCTTTCTGTAATGGCAAACCAAGTAATTTGGATCTTTACCATTACTTGATTACAACTAAAAAGTGGGACAAAATATAAAAATTTCTTTCTTAGAGTCATCAAAGAGCTAACAAGATAGTGAGGAAATTACAGGGCTGAGATACTAGAGGAGACCAGAATCCAGAAAGGTAAGTCTTTCACTCAGAATCATGTTTGCCCTGAATGATATTTGCCATTTCTGAAGGGGCAGCAAAAAATGAACTATGTTTTTGGCAGTATCACAGGACTAAAGGGACAAAAATCAGAGTTTATTCTTCTAAGTGCTTGAACCCTACAGGGCTGCACCCCAGGAGTAAGGGTGAACTAGAGATAAGTCCACTTTCTCAGAATTTGTAGTGTGAGTTTTCAGGACTTGAACTTGGATTGAGATGCTTTTGGCTTGCTAGTGTCTCTAGACACCCAGTAAGAGTGAATAAAAATAGTTCTTAGAGGAATATAATGTCATTTTGAGTCTTAAATTATTTCTACAATTAACTTTTTAAATAAAACATCTAGAAAGCATAAGGATAACCAAACCCACAAGGAAACTAGATACTGTGAGCAAGAACCATCAGAAACAATGACCAAAGAAATAGACTCACGAAAATAGATCCTGTAATTATCTATCAGAAACTATTAACCATCTGTTTGATTATACAGCATTCAAGAAAATTAAAGCCATACTGAAAATTTCAATGAGGAACTAGAAATTTTAAAAGAGAGTAGATTTGAAAAAGAACTAAAGAAAAAAATTTTAACTGAAAAATATAATAAGTTAAGGATTTTATAAATGGGGTTAATAGCACCTTAGATAAAGCTGAAAAGAAAATTGATAAACTGGAAGATGAGTCTGAAAAGACTATCCATAATGAAATACAGGCAACAAAAAGAAAATAGGAAGAACAGGGTGAGAGATATAGAGGATATAGTGATAATACCTAACATGTTATCCAGAAGGATAGTGTAAAAGAGATAATCAGACCAATAGGTGGAAACAAAAAACAAACTCTTAAAAGCTACCAGAAACCGTCACCTAGGTGGCACAGTTAAGTATCCAACTCAATTTCAGCTCAGATAGTGATCTTAGTCATAAGATTAAGCCCAGCATCTGGCTCCTCGCTCAGCATGGAGTCAGCTTGAGACTCTCTCTCCCCCACTCCCTACATGCTCTCTCTCCCTCTTTCTGTCTCTCAAATACATAAATAAATCTTAAAAAAGAAAAAAGCCACCAGAAAAACAAAATGCACATTACCATTATAGGACTGTAAGAATGAGAGTTAGACTGGCAAGGAATTTGTCGACAATAGCAATGGAAGCCAGAAGACACTGGAACAATATACTGTACTAAAATAACCCCTACACTAAAATTCTCTAACCAATGAAAATATTCTTAAATAAAAAATTAAATATATTTTTAGGTAAAAACTGGGTTTACTACCAGAAAACTGCCTCTGTTGGTTGTTCTTTAGGCACAAGGAAAATAATTCCAGACAGAAGGAGCATGGTACACAGATGCAAGAAGGAATGAAGAAAAACAAGTGAAAATAATGTGGATAGTCTATAATTTGTAGATTAGTCCAGGGGCACTCAGGAAATTAAGAGAGTTCTAAGATAACCTGGGCCTTTAAAACTCTAGAAACTAACCAAAGTCCCTTCCAAAACAAAGCCTTCACTCAAACTAGTAGTAGAATTCATATTGAGCAAAACAAGAACATTAAAGGTAAAGAAAAGAGAAGTTTTCGTATAACTGAGGAAGAGGTGAATAGAGAAAGCAGATTTCAGAATGTACTTAAGATTTTATACACTCAGACAAACTTATATGCATACAAACACACCTACATACATACATACATAAATACATACTTTTTGGTAACAGTGGAGCATAAGCTTAGAGCCATGAAGTTCAGAAAGCTATCGTGCCATACCCTTACACGGGATTGTCCTCCCATAGGAGCAGAACCCATCTAATTTAAAGATGAGAAATTGAAGGGTAATGTTGATAGAAGCTCATACAAAAATATTAGAGGAGATAATTGCTGTAACATGTCCATAGTCAAATGAAGAAAGATGTACCCACAAAACATGAAATGGGTTCATCCTTTGCCCTAGAAATCTCAATTCTCGAAATATAGCTCAGAGGTACACTAGGGAGAGGCGCCTGACTGGCTCTAACAGTAGAGCATGTGACTCTTGATTTTGGGATTGTAAATTTGAACCCCGCTTTGGGTGTAGAGATTACTTAAAATCTTATAAAAAAACAAAAAAACAAAACAAAAAAGTATACTAGGAAAAGAGCAAAACTGGAAACAAACCACATGTCCCTTAATAGGGCATTGATTAAATAAATTGTACATCCTTAGTACCATAGAATGCAGCTATTAAAAGGAATGAGGAAGCCATAGACAGGTCGTTGTAGAGTGATACCTAAGATATACTGTTAAATGAAAAAGGCAAGGAAGAAAATATCTTGTGTAATATGCTACTTTTTATTTATGAAAGGTGAAGTACAAATATATATACTTATTTGCTTATCTATGCTTATATTAAAAAGAATAAAAACCCTACATAATAAAAAATAAACCTAAAATTAATGAAAAGTTGTTAATTAAATTAACATAAAATTGTTAATTTAATGTGGGGGAAGGATAAAACAAAGTCAGGAAAGCAGGGATGTCAACTAGATTTACTTTATTTTACAGTTTTGACTTTTAAGTCCTAAAAATTTTTTCCACGTCTATAAAAAATTTTTTTGAAATGGTATAAAAGCCAACCTAAGCTGAAAGGAAACAAATCAATCCACTGTATATTAAGCTAGTGGTTTAACCACTCAGTGAATTTTTTTAAATGATTAGAAACTTACTAATTTGACTATACATCCCTAAAGATGTATGTCCTAAGTACAAAAAGAACTGCCAAAAAAAATCTTAAGCTGCATTTAGCAACTATATTGTCATTAATAATATTACTTTTGTATTTTGAGCACATTAGATAGTATGATAAACAAGTAATTATGTGTATATGAGGAACGAAGAATTTCAGAGATAGAAGAGATATATAAATGCCAATCAAGAAGTTAAGTAAAAGCCCTATAATAATACTGGAATAGTATCAAAAAGATGCCAGAGCCAGTTGAAGGATTTCCTGTTGACCAGAGATGTGTCAGTTTGACATGACAAAGAATAACCACAATGGATTAAAACATATGTTAAAACCCCTGAACCCATAATGATACTTCAAAAAAAAAAAAAAAAAGTACTGGTCACTTTTGGAGGGTGCTAGGACATAAAGTCATTCTAAAAACCGATAAAAAGAAAAAATACCAGACAATTATCTTGCCTGTCCAGTGCAAACTATATTATAGGGTAGTGATAGAATATGACCATTTTGCAGCTCCTGATGAAATAGTAAACCTAAGCAGTAATCTTCAGTGCTGGCTACTAAAATCATTAGATCAATGAGGAATTTCATAATGGATAGATTAACTTGAGAACACTCAATGAACCAACAGAGTAATTATAATATCAAGAAGAAAGACAACCAGAAAATTGTTAGCCTCCTGGTTGAAGTAGGAAGTACACAGTACCACCATAGTCAGGTTAAAAAACAACAACAAACTACCTGAATCTAATCAAGCTACTACATTGTTTTAATAGGAAACTTAGGGAATAAAAGAATGTGTTAAATGACATCAGAGGGATGCGGAAGTTAAAATCCAGAATTGGAAATTTTTGCAAGATAACTTGTTTTTTTTCCTGCAAATATCTGGTATGTGGGAGTTGCCAGAGTTTGGAGGAGAAACATTTGACAAATTAAAGAAAATTGAAAGAGATGTCAACCAAATACAGTGTGGGGATCTTGATTGGATCCTGATTCCAATAAACAATTGTAAAAAAAACATTTATCAGACTGAGAAATTTTAACACTTATTACATATTTTATGACATTAAGGAATTATTAATTTTTATTGATATAGTTAATGACATGTAGAGAAGAATCCTTTTACAGCTGCATACTGAAATATTTACAGATAAATGATATTTAAAATTTTATCTAAGTTCTGTTAGAGATTAGACCATTGTTTTTCAATTAATTTTTGGTTTTATAGCTATTAAATTTCTTCATTTTATTATTATGATTATGTTAGTATTTTCTTATTTCTTGAAAAGGCTGTGAATGATGCTTCTGATTTTTAATGTCTAATATTCTATTTTTGTTGCTTTTTAACTATTCTGCAGTTACTTTAATTTCTTCTTTTATCCAACCATTTGGAGTATATTTTAATGTTCAAATGTTTGGGATTATGGTTGTTTGTTTACATTTTTTTCTTAATGATTTCTAATTTTATTTCCTTCTAAATAGGGAATAAGATCTTAGCAGATTTTGCTTTGTACTATATTGATGTTTTCTTTATATGTTAATTTATAGTCCATCTTTGGAAATGCCCCTTGGATTCTTGGGAGGGAAAAGGTATATCTTTGCAGTCTGTATATATGTTTTCAGTCATTCATATATATTGGTTTCGTTTAATAGTATAGTGCTTCTATATCCCTATTTTTACTCAAAGGTAGTATATTGTTGACCAAGTACAATTGTGTTTCTGTCAAATTTTCCTTTTGTTTTTCAATTTTGACTACATATTTTGACTAAATATTTTGAAGTTATTTGGCATGTCACAATTCATTCTCTAATCATGGATTTCATCTTTTTTCAATATAGGATCCCTTTTTGTATCAGATGTTTTCTATATTGAATTATGCTTTGTCTAACACTTAATATTGCTCTCTCATCTCTCCATTTCTTGATGTTATGTCCCATTGTTTTGTTTTTAACCCTTCTGTATAAGAATGCCTCATGTAAACAGCATATGGTTTACTTTTATTTTTACTAAATCCGGTGATCTATTTTATAAGAGATACTGTTTTTGAGAAATTTCTTACTATGTGCCAGAGAGTATGCTATGAAACTTTCTATATACAAGTTCTCATTTAATCTTTAGAACAAATCCAAGAAGATGACTCTATTGTCATTATTTAAAAATGAAGAAATTGAGGTTCAGAGAGGTTGAATAACTTACATAGGTTGTTCTTTCTCTTTATGTGATTGCTGGTAGAATATTCCTCCCTCAAATCCTAAATTGTATGGCTAGTGGATGTGTATAGCAGATGTAACCAGACTTTTATGGTATTTATCTAAAGTCCTTTGCTAGATCGAGGAGAGATCTATTGCTGCTTGGGAAGAGGACAATGTATTCTTGAATAAATTAAAACTGTCTTTAGTTCTTCCATTACTAAAACACTACATGGAAAATTACAACCTCAATGGCTTCATGTCCCAGAATATAATAAAATCATTTCCGGTCCATATTACTAGGAGTTGTTTTCTCTGAGTAGGTGTAAAAAATCACTTGATGTCAGGGATACATCAGAGGCTGGTGACCCTTCCCCAGCTGCATTAGAAAGCAGCTTCCTCACAGTGGCAAAGAGGCCTTCCTCCTGGTCAACTAAGTACAGGTGTCTCTACAAGAGATTATGGAGTCCGTATCAGTGAAAATATACTGCCTTCCTATTTGGCCCACATTTGTTCTTTATGGTTCTGGTTTTTGATGGAGATTTCTTTGTGGAAATTCCTTGTGGGATATGGAGGTTCACAAGTATTCCCTATTTCCTGTGCTGTTACAGTTTGGCAAATTTGTCTGTGTTTCATCAACATTTCAATGGGAAGGCTGGAAGGGAGGGGGTGTGGGGCTGGCACTACCAGATGACAGGCATTAAGGAGGGCATGTGATGTAATAAACACTGGGTGTTTATACAACTGATGAATCACTGAGCTCTACCTCTGAAACCAATAATATACTCTGTTAATTAATTGAATTTAAATTTTTAAAATTTTGAAAAAAATCAGTGATCCATTAAACTCTTGAATTCTAAAAAAAAATTCAGTGGGAAGAGAAGATTGAATAAATTAGTTGCTAGTATATCTTAAGCAAGAAACTTTCAAAGCCATTAGACATTTCTTTCTGCTTTCAAAGAGCATGAACTATCTATGTGAAGGGTAGGGACATTAAGAAATAGGTGAGGGGTGTCCTGGAATACCTGCTAATAGTTTACCAATATATTTTCTCAAGATGTCTTATGAAGTTAATGAGTGCCGAAAGATTGAGTCCCTTGAAAATTTGGACCTGGATTTTGATGGTGATGTCACAGAACTTGAAACTTTTGGAGTAAACACCACCAAACCATCAAAGTCACCAAGTCCAGCAAGTATTTCCACAGTACCCAACACGACAGATACTCCCACAGCTCCCAGCACAGCAACCACATCTGTGGTACCAACTGCACCAGATATTTCTGCTCATTCTAGAAGTTTATCTCAGATTCTGATGGAACAGTTGCAAAAGGAGAAACAGCTGGTGACTGGTATGGACGGTGGCCCTGAAGAGTGCAGAAATAAAGATGATCAGGGATTTGTACCATGTGGTGAAAAACCATCAAATTCTGACAACTTTTTGGCGCAGGATAATAACTTGAAAATGTCTGATTCTTTACAGTTAGAAAGTTCTACAGAAATTGAAACTTCTCATAAAAATGATTTGACTACTGATAAGGTATATGCCCCTGAAAACCTGAATGTTCTAGAGAACACAGACAATTCAAAGGAAAAGACTATTACCTCAGAACCAGTAAGAAGTGAAGATGTAATTCTTTGCAATAGTGATACAGATGAAGACTGTTTAATCATTGATACAGAATGTCAAAATAATAGTAATGGAAAGACAACTGATAAGAATTCTAATTTAAGTTCTAAACCAGCTAGCCCCAATTCTTCCTCAGCACAGGCCTCTGTAGGAAACCAGACTAATGCTACTTGTAGTCTTGAAGAGTCATGTGTTTTAAAAAAACCTATTAAACGAGTATATAAAAAATTTGATCCAGTTGGAGAAATTTTAAAAATGCAGGATGAACTCCTGAAACCAATTTCCAGAAAAATACCTGAAGTGCCCTTAATGAATTTGGAAAATTCTAAACAACCTCCTGCTTCTGAGCAATCTGCTCCTTCAGATGCCTCTAGTTGGCCAAAATCTGTATGGCCTTCTGCATTTCAGAAGCCAAAAGGACGTAAGTAAATATTTACAAAGACCTTTATATTAACTGTTTGCCTCTTCCTTATCCTTAGTTTTTTCTCCCTCAGTCCCTCACTTTCTCGTTGTTAGACCTGCCTTATAATATTACATGGTCATTGATACTTCATTTTTCAATCTAGTGTGTCAGCTTCCAAAATCTTCTCTTTAAATATGTACACAAAGTTGTATGGATTTTTGTAATTTTTAAACTTGTGTTTATCCAACATGTACAGTGGCTACTGTAACTGCAGATAATGTTGCTCACTGAACTGATAAAGGGGAGATGATCAAAAATAACCATAAACATTTATGAGTCCAAAATTTACTAATTCATGATGTTGGACTATATAGTTTTATACCTTTCACTTTCTGAGATAATATAACGCTGTAGCTCAGCTCTGCCTGGTTTAGACAAAACATCACTTTTTTAAAACTTGTTTTCTTCTTCATATGTTGTCTCACTAATTTAAACTTGGCTAGGGTTAATGAAAGTGGTAGTTAAAGCTTCGACCTAAGCTCTTGACTACATTTCCAGTAAAAGTAAACAGAAATGGTAATAGTTTAAGTGTTCAACTGAGGAAATGGAAAGTTAAAAATAGTTAATAAAAACTCAAAAATAGATAATTGAATTGTTTTATCTTGAATTATGTGTAAAGAGCTAATGTATTTTAAAATAAAAATGAGAAATATAATTATTTTTAAAGGATTGCCATATGAACTTCAGGACTATGTTGAAGATACATCAGAATATGTAGCTCCCCAGGAAGGAAATTTTGTTTACAAGTTATTTAGCCTGCAAGACTTGTTGTTACTTGTGCGATGCAGTGTCCAGAGGATAGAGACCAGACCACGTTCTAAAAAACGGAAGAAAATCAGAAGAGTAAGTTGTTACTTGGGGAGTTAGGATGTGGTAATATAAGTGGATAATTAAATATTTCACATGCCATTGTTATGAAGTTTAATTTTAAACTGTTGATCACTATTGGAATTATTCCAGAATGAGCTGGGGTGTTTTGTTGGTTTTTTGTGTGTGTGTGTGGTTTGTTTTTGTTTTTGTTTTTTTTTAGTAAAATACTGAAAACACTTTTAATAAGGGAAACTGGAAAGTGTTAAATGTAAAATTCTTGAATGCCAGTAACATTCTAACATAGAATTTATAAACTTAATGAAAAATTGCACCATCACATTTTGACCTAGACAGGTACATATATTCCTGCTTTCTGTTAATTTGGAATTCCTTGTGATATTTTAGCCCTTCTTTCCCTTACTTTGGGGATCTTCTTTACTCTTTTTATAAGTCCCACATTTTGTAAGGGGGACTTACAGACATCTTTGAAGTCTTTGCAGAATTGTTAGAAGACCAGGCATATTCTTTTTCCCCTGTTGGTCTTTTGGGGGGGGGGGGTGATATAAAAAAATTTTTTTTTTCCAGTTAAAAAGTTCTTGCTACAGTTTGAGTAATTGGTTCTTTAAACAGTTTTCCATACTTGATGTTTGAAGTTCACATTCAGATTAGTTTGATTTTTGTGTGTGTGGCACCACTGAATTTGCTAAATAAAGAAGACCTTCTATATTATAGCTGATTATAATGATGTCTTTCATTTTTACTTAAGAGAATTTTTTCTGTTGTGTATATTTGTCATTGTGTGTGTGTATATTTATGTTTTTTATTTTAAAAGTTACTTGTTTTAATTTTGCTGTCTCTATCTTCTGCTCTCTAACCTACCACTGATAAGTATCCTCAGTGACCACTTTAGAAGTCATTATGTTTGGGGCTAGGAGTCAAGTGATCAAAAATAGTGATGTTCTAGCCTTGACCCTTGTGGATCAAGTCACTGATTACTGCTTTGTCACATTAAGGAATAATTTGGAAAATAAAGGAAGGAAAGGAGGGAGAGCAGATGGTCCAACCTTTCTAAACTGCTAATAACAGGATCTGTTACGAAAAAACTCTAAAGCTAAACCATCAGGATCTAGGATCTTTGTCCCCTAGAATCCAATAGACTTGGAGGGTCTTTTGCTTGATGATACTGTTACCTTTGTCAAATAGAAGGGAGATTGTGAATACATTTTTAAATTCTTAATTCTCATAATTTGGTTTTTATCAGTGGTTCAGACTTTAAATTTTAAAAACCAAATAGTTTTGAATTAAATGTATGAGGTAGTATTTTTTTATAAGAGAAAGTCAAGGAATGACAAAATACTAAAGATTTTGTATTAGTCTGCTCCTAAATACATGCTAATATTTTCTGAATTAAGAGATTTTACTTTATTTACTGATTTTCCTATCTTATTTATATTTAATTATCAGTTTAATGGCTGTAGCATGAACATCTTGAATATATGTAGTATCAGTGCTATGTATTATATTTTCAGTGTTTTATTTCTTTAATTTTTACTTGATATCTCTTTTATTTCTTTGGAAGCTAACCTGATTTCTTTTACTTTTTACCCTTTGAACCCATACCACTTTGTATTGATGTGCCAGCTCACAGCAGTTAGGAACTATTGATGGGCCAGTTATTCTTAAGAACAGCTTAGGGATATATTGGATACTGAGTTCTTGAAACAGACAGCCTGTTAAGGACATTGTCATTCTATTGACTAAAGGCAATTTGTAAGTGTTGGAACAAAACCTTATAGATGTGAATTCACTCTTCATCAAAATATATCAAACCAGTTGAACCCCAAAGAATATCTAAATAGAAGCCTTATGTTTTTGATGATGTCAAACCCAGAGTAAAATTTTAAATTTTTCAGTGAATGTTTATCATCCTGTACCTTTTTATTACATGTAATCATTTAGTACACATGATTTAAATCCCTTGTAGAATGAATTTCCCTTGGAATCAGGTCCTATTTACCTGTTTCTCCCAAATGTTTTATATCCTAGAAACACAATAAACAGGTATTAAGTTAATGAGAAGAATTGAGGGGTGAAGAAAGAGGAGGGTGTTATTAAGGAAGGGAACTTTAGGGATCCCTGGGTGGCGCAGCGGTTTAGCGCCTGCCTTTGTCCCAGGGCACGATCCTGGAGACCCGGGATCGAGTCCCACATCGGGCTCCCGGTGCATGGAGTCTGCTTCTCCCTCTGCCTATGTCTCTGCCTCTCTCTCTGTGTGTGACTATCATGAATAAATTAAAAAAAATTTAAAAAAAAAAAAAAAAAAAAAAAAAAAAAAAAAGGAAGGGAACTTTAGGATAATTTAAGCACTAGTTTGAGAAGTTTTGAAGTAGCACTATTTAAACTCTAGGTAAGAAAGCATTCTTATTAACTACTTAAAAACCGACTTGTTTAGATAAAGCTTTAAAACACTTAGAAGTCTCTTCAACTCCTGATACTAGCTATGAAATATCTATTTAGGAATGTATGGAAAAGTTTAAAAGGTCTATGTGAAAAATTGGAAGACAGAACCAGGAAAAGCTTTCAGCTGGGGAGAATAAGAGTTACTATTCAAAGAAGAAAGGAATGGTAAATTTAATTTTTATAGTTTGAAACTTTGATTGGAATTAAAATTTCACTCTAATTTTAGAATACTACCATAAAATATTCAGACTTTTCTTTCCCTTGGCTTCCTGGAGGTGGCAGTAGAATACATACAGAAATTAAAACCAGATTCAGGACTTAGTTTTATAGATATAAAGCAGTATTATCATGGAAAAATCAACTCATGATCCAAAAAGGGTATATCTTCCATATCAATTATTCAACTCTGCTATAAACTGGCTCTGTCTCTGAGCAAATTTCTTAACCCTCTTGACCTCCATTTCTTTATCTCTAGCTTATGGTAGTTAAATGCAGATTACCAATTGCTGAAGAATTATTATATAATAAAAAACTTTTACCAGTAAAATTATCTTAATCACAATTTAATTTTTTTAATTGAGACGACACCATAGAGTCCTTATACTTGAGGTTTGGCCCCTGGAACAACAGCTTACTTATCAAATACACAAAACCTACTATACAGAATTGTCAAATTAGGGCAGCCCCGGTGGCGCAGCGGTTTAGCGCCGCCTACAGCCAGGGGCATGATCCTGGAGACCCGGGATCGAGTCCCACACCCGACTCCCAGCGTGGAGCCTGCTTCTCCCTCTGCCTGTGGCTCTGCCTCTCTCTCTCTCTCTTTCTGTGTGTGTCTCAATAAATAAATCTTTAAAAAAAAGAATTGTAAAATTATTATAATGTACACTCAAAACTAACATTAAACTGTGTGTTAATTATACTTCAATTTTTAAGAAAGCAAAACATTGCTCTTCACCTCAGACTCTCCATTTTAACAAAGTTATTCACCAGGTTATTTACATACACATTAAAATAAAAGAAACACTACTTTAAGGCTTTACAACATTCATAGGTAATCATTTGAACCAACCCTACTGTTAACAAAAATGTTACTGGATTTGAATTATTCTTAACCACCATCATTGTTCCAAGCCTACTAAATTTGCCACTTTGTGAAAATCAGGAATTCTGAAACATTTGTGAAATATTTTCAAGTATATGAATAGTGGCAGCTTAGTATAATTTCAAAAGTACTAACTAGTTATATCACTTTGAATATATTTGTTAAATCTTCTATTTCTCCTTCTGCAGCTGGAAATGAAGAGACTACTATTAAGAGTAGAGTATTCTTTGACAGAAATGAACTAACATGAGCACAGTGAACATAACATGACATTATTTCACAAGCATGTATTTCCTTGCATATTCTACTTTATACTAGTAATAGCCACAGTTACTTTACTTAATCTATTTAGTGTCCTGACCATTAAACTCTAAGTGGATAATTTACCAGGTACTTAGTGTTTGAAACAAGCTTTTGTATTAATCAAGATAGACACTCACAGGTGTTAATGTAGGTTTTAATGCTTATTCACTTCATTCTTAGAATGAAAACAAGCTGCCCAGAGTATTTGACCCTGAGATCATTTGTCTCATGCATTAAAGGGGCCAAAAATTCTTACCTTTTTTATCCTCTGAGAATTACTAGTATAACAGTCTTTCTGGTATCCAGATTTGAACCTTTGGGCAATTATGTATCATAGGCTCTGTTCCAAGGTTGCTACTGTCAGTTACATTCCCTGATAAAATGTGTAGATAGGGAGGTACAGGGATCTTGGGTGGAGGTGAGGGAGAGCTGTTGGTTCAGGATCTCTTATTTATCTATCCACCTCTGTGTGTTGCCCACATCTAACAAGGGTTCTTTTCATCTTTCTGTCTGAATTCTGCTGTATTTGAAAGGATGAAATAAGATTACCTGAAAGCATTTTGAAAGTGGCAAACTATATAGGCAAATGTATTTGCTATTAAGCATAAATTAATGGAGCTTTGAAAAAGTATAACCTTGCATTTCAGCAATTTCCAGTTTATGTACTACCAAAAGTGGAATATCAAGCTTGTTATGGTGTTGAAGCTCTAACTGAAAGTGAACTTTGCCGCCTGTGGACTGAAAGTTTATTGCATTCCAACTGCTCATTTTATGTTGGTAAGTTATACACCAGGCTTTGTTCTCCTTTTTAATGCCATTGTAAATATATACTTTTAATCAATTATAAAGACTTCCATTCTGTACTTTCTGCAGCTCTTATTGTGTTAACATTCCTTTCTATTACAACACCATTCCTACTGCAGAGTTAAATGGTGGGGTGAGACTAGTAAGATCAGATGTTCCATTTCCCTCTTATTCAATGTTTAGTTGTGTTTGAATGTCAACATAATTGTTTTATTTTTGAAATATTTTATTTTACAGTGTAATAAGCTAAAACTATAGGAGTGTTTTCTAACAAGCTTCTTTTAAACTATTGATATGAACATGTTTCGAAATTTTCTTAAAATTCTAATGACATTTAAAATTTTTCAAATTTTTTAAACTTTGTTTCTAGTTTGCTGTTTTGGGGGATTGGTCAGGAATTTGTGTTATTTGGATTCACGCACAGTTAACATACTTCATATGAAGGATTACTTGCCAGTTGTTACTGATATTGCTCCCTCCCAATGGAATGCTTTATCCCCATACTTTTTGATTCATCCTGTATGTTTCAGTTCAACCTAACTATCTCAAGCTGCCCTTCCATGAAGTCATTTCCTTCCTTTGGTCTTTCAATGCAAGGTCTTTTTTTTTTTTTTTTAAGATTTATTTTAGAGAGAGCACACACTAGTAAATATGCGTGAGCAGAGGAGGGGCAAAGGGAGAGAGAGAGAGAGAGATGCAGACTTCTACCCTGAGCCCAAGGCATCCTGAGGCTCAATTCTAGGAACCTGAGATTGTGACCTCAGCCAAAATCAAGAGTTGAATGCCCAACCAACTGAGCCACCTAGGCAACCCTGGGGAGTTTTTGTTTCTTTTTTTCTTTTCACCACTCTTAAAACGTGTTACTTTGTATTGTATTGTTCTTTTTTACACTTAACCCTATCTTCCCATTAGACAGTAAGTAGTTTAAGGTCAGTGTCTAATGAAACTTCATATTTTCATAGCACTTAGCATGATTGCTGATATGAAACACCTGTTAAGAGCATATTTTTCTTAATCAAAAAAAAGTTACTTACTTGAAAATATTTTCCATATTTTGGTTAACCAGTATTTCCCCTTTATTGTATAAGAGTATTAATAAGATAATTGATTTGCTCTCTCTCCATAACTCAAAAGTACTACTTCGTGGTGCACTAGCCCCATTCTCCTGCTTCATACTGAATGCTGGAAGTTTTTTGTTGTAGTTTTCAGCCACTAACCACAATCACAGTGTTCCTCCAAAAGACCTCATGCCTTGAAACATACCAACAGTCTTCATGTAAGGTACTCAGAAGCAATGGCTAACCACATCCATTTTGGGAAAAGATGAAACAAAAACATCACTTAAATCCTTCTTAAAGGTACTGAAAGAGAATAGAGACACATGACTAAAACAATATAAAACATTTTTTTTAAAGTGTAAGGTATACTTTAACAGATAAAACTGCCATCATCTATATAGCTTACCCCATCTAAAGTATTCTTTGAAGTCCTAAATAATTATTGCTCTATGTGCTCTTTATCCTTAGTAAATCCTACCCACTTGGAAGCCATTAATTTTATTTATTTTTTTCTTTAATTTTTATTTATTTATGATAGTCACAGAGAGAGAGAGAGAGAGGCAGAAACATAGGCAGAGGGAGAAGCAGGCTCCATGCACCGGGAGCCCGACGTGGGATTCAATCCCGGGTCTCCAGAATTGCACCCTGGGCCAAAGGCAGTTGCTAAACCGCTGCGCCACCCAGGGATCCCCTATTTATTTATTTTTAATATGTTTTTTATTATTATTATTGAAGTTAGGTTTGCCAACAAATAGTATAACACCCAGTGCTTATCCCATCAAGTGTCCTCCTCAGTGCCTGTCACCCAGTTGCCCCAATCCCCCTGCCCACCTCCCCTTCCGCATCCCTGTCTTTGTTTCCCAGAGTTAGGACTCTCTCATGGTTTGTCTCCTTCTTAGTTTTTCCCACTCAATTCTCCTCCTTTCCCTTATAATCCCTTTCAGTATTTCTTATATTCCGTGTATGAGTGAAACCATATGATGATTGTCCTTCTCTGATTGACTTGCTTCACTCTAGCCATTAGAAAGGACGAATACCCATCATTTGCTTCGACATGGATGGAACTGGAGGGTATTATACTGAGTGAAGAAGCCATTCACTTTAATGTAATAGAATAGTGTATTTGGTGGAGCGCCTGGGTGGCTCAGTCAGTTAAGCATCTGCCATTAGCTCAGGTCATGATCCCAGAGTCCTGGGATTGAGCCCCGCCTGGGCATCAGGCTCAGGGAGCCTGCTTCTTCCTCTCCTGTTCTCCCTGCTTGTACTCTATCTTATGCTCTCTGCCAAATAAATCTTTTTTTTTTTTATAAAGGATGGTATATTTGGTTTCTTTTATAGTTTGATGAGAAATTTATGTTATATGGTTGTGTTTTCTTTGGGTTTGGGAATGGGTTTGGTTTTTTATGTGGGGGTGAATATGTTTTGAAATGCTGTTTTAGGGATCCCTGGGTGGCGCAGCGGTTTGGCGCCTGCCTTTGGCCCAGGGCGCGATCCTGGAGACCCGGGATCGAATCCCACGTCGGGCTCCCGGTGCATGGAGCCTGCTTCTCCCTCTGCCTGTGTCTCTGCCTCTCTGTCTCTCTCTGTGTGACTATCATGAATAAATAAATAAAATCTTTAAAAAAAAAAAAAAAGAAATGCTGTTTTAAAAGGATCTAGATGGGGGGTACCTGGCTGGCTCAGTCAGTAAAGCATGCAAACTTTTGATTTCAGAGTTGTGAGTTTGAGCCCCACATTGAGTATAGAAATTACTTAAAAAATTTTTAAAAATCTAAAAAAATAAATAATTGAAAGTATCTGTGGGTTAGAGGTGTTCATTTTTTGTTTTTGTTTTTTAATGTTGCTCTGTTACTCTTTTAATTTCAGAAAAATGTTGCAACAAGAAGGGAGTGTAGGAGAAAGGGCTCCTTAGTTAAGTTTTTCTTATAGTTACTTTGTGGAAAAATAATACAGAAAATAAATACAGAAGGCAACAGTCATTTTGTCATTGTAGTGTCTGGAATAACTGAATATAATTAAAATATGTTATATATCAGATGTGACTACAAAGTAGTTTGCATGACTCATTACTTAGCCTCTTATAATTATATTTTTAACATAATGTTTTGGTTTTAAGAAGAGAGCCAATCTACAGATAGACAAGAGTTAAAGAAGATATGTATAAAATACTTAGGATAGCTCACTTCAGAAGTATTTATTATTGCCTTTTGACATCCAAATAACAAACTAAATTGAAAATTATGAGTTCCTAGATAGGAGTTACGGTATGTACCTTTAAAAGAGGTAATGTGTTTCTTTTCCAATATTCTTTGATCCTCTCTGTAATATGTCAGTTTTCCTCTCTATACTACACTCCTCTTCCCAGTTTCCTCTCCTTCCAACCTCCCAATGTACAACTTACAGAATATTGTTGGGTTGGTTTTTCTTTTCTCCTTTTGGTTCATTATGTATCTGCCACTCACAAACCAAGCTATATGATGCACTTGAAGTGCTCCAAAATTATCCTTAGGAACTATTAAATATATCTGTGTATGTATGTATATATGTAAGTGTGTATAAAAATAATAGAACAATATTTTTCTTTTCTTTTTTAGGGAGAGAGCTCACAAGCAAGGGGAGGGACAAGAGGGAAAGAGGGAGAGAGAATCTTAAACAGATTCCATGCCCAGTGTAGAGCCAGACCTAGGGCTCGCTCTCACAACCCTGAGATCAGGACCTGAGCCAAAATTTAGAGTCATACATTTAACCAACTAAAGCACTAAGGCACCCCTAGAACAATATTTCTAACTCAGTTATGAAGTATGCAATGTGGGTCAACTACTTATATACCTGTTTTTGCTAATCCTCACTATTCTGTAAAATAGGTGATGTTTATCTTTGTTATATGGAGAAAAAAACCTTAGGTTCTCTAAGTTTATTGCTCAAGATTACACAATTTGTGGGAAATCCAGAATTTGTATCCATATGTTTTCTGACTCCACAGCTTGTGCTTTTTTCCATTATAATGGAGTAGTGGAAATCATGCTGAATGTGGGAATCAGAAGGTATATGTATGATTACTATGTATTTTCTAATTCTTTTACCTTGGTTAGAATCATTTAACCCCCAGGCCTGAACTTTTTCACCTATACATAATGAATATCATAGTATTCTTTCATCCTACTACAAGGATTGTATATACAGATTTTTTTATTATAATTATAACCTATTATATTGCCCCAAAAGTAGATTTCTTCTTGATGAAAATAGATACAAGACTTTGTACTGAGGAAAAGCTACTAACCTAGAATTAGGTGAAAATATGGAAGATCATCTTTATGATATGAGAGTTAAGGAAATATTTCTTTTTTTTTTTTAATCTATTTGAAAAAGAGAGAAGAGCATGAGTGGGGGGAGGAGCAGAGAGAGAGAGAGAAGCAGACTCCCTACTGAGCACAGAGCCCAACCAACATGGGACTCCACCCCAGGACCCCGAGATCAGCATCTAAATTGAAGGCTGATGCTTAACCAGCTGAGCCACTCCAGGCACCCCAAGAAAGAATTTCTTAACTAAAAATTAAAAGTGGACTAAAACAAAAGGAGCAATAACTTTCCTATATTTAGACATAATTTTTAAGTGTCTACATGGTACTCTTTCTGTTCTAAGATAATAGAATAGTTGTAAAGTACACCATTGATTTGATGTTTTTCTCTTCCATTTTTAACTTTTTTAAAAAAAAGGTATATTTATTTTAGAGAGAGAGAATGGGAGGGGTTAGAGAAGAGTAGAGGGAGAAGGAGAGAGAGAATCTTAAGCAGATTCTGCACTGAGCCCAACATGGCTAGATCTCACCACCCTGAGATCACAACCTGAGCCGAAACCAAGAGTCAGATGCCCATCTGACTGTGCCAGTCACTCACCCTTTCCATTTTTAA